TCCCCCAACCTGCTGGTCACGCTGCTGGTGATGCAGCCCAGGACACGGTTGGTGTTTTGCAGAGGCTGCGTCTCAGCCCACCAGTGCCCCCTGCCCACCCGGCACCCACCCCAAGGAGAAAGCCCTTACGAAATGGCCTCCACCATGGCCAGCCCCATCATGATGGAGCAGACAGCATGGTCCTCCCGGTACTCAGGCAGCCCGCAGATGCAGTAGTAGCAGTCGCCCAGAATCTTGATGCGCAGCTGGTGGTATTTCTGGGGATGGGGGGGACAGTGTAAGCCCCACAACCATCACCTGTGTCTCCCCCAACCCCATCACTGCCTCCATCCCTCTCCCAGGCTGACCTTGACCCACACAGAGTCTCCTGCACCCAGCAGGGACATAAATCATCGGATTTTCCATTCCCACCCTGCCTTCCCCCAGGGCTCAGCGGGACTCCGGCTGCACCCTGGCTGGGGGAGGCCCCCCTGCTTCCCAGCTCTATTTTTACAGCACAGGGCAGGGCATCTCCAGCATCCCATAATGTTAAAACTTTAACCTCCTCATCCCAGGATGCAGCTTTTGGCTGGGGCTGGAGTGAGGTGGTGGCTGAGACCTGCCCCACTCATTACATGCCAGGAGGGAGGGACACTCACGGCTGCCAGCTTGTCGAAGCGGGCGAAGAGCTCGTTGAGGAGCTTCACCAGCTCCTGGGCGCTGCAGTAGGAGGAGAGCTGGGTGAAGCCCACAATGTCTGCGAAGAGGATGCTGTTGGGAGCAATGGGGAGAAGATCAGCCCCATGTGTGTATGTGTGTGCTCCTGAACCCCCCTTCCCTGCCCTCCCTTTGCACCAGGGAACTTGTGCCAAAGGAAAGGCTGTTTTGGGATGTGGCTGAAAATGATGCTCTGCAAACCAGTGCTGGAGCAAAAACGTGCCCCAGGCCATGGTCAGACTGGTGGCTGTCCCCTGTCACACTGCGCTTTACCTGCAAACCTCCCCAGTCTCTCCCCTTATTTCTAGCCAAGACAGCACAATACACATTTTTGCCACAAGGATGTCACAGAGGCAGGATGGTCCTACCTGACGTTCTCGTGACGGTACATGTACATGGTGTTGAACTGCTGCATCTCCTTCTGGCTCGGGTCCTTCTTCATGTCCTTCAGCATCTCATCAGCCACATGCTTGGGCAAGATGGAGAGCATCAGCCGCTCCTGGGGATGGGGCAAAGGACAGAATTTGCCATGACACGAAGCCAGGCCTGTGCCAAGCACAGCAACACATGGTGCAAACACACAGTGCAAATACATGGTGCAAATGTGCAGTGCAAAGGCACAGTCCAAACACATGGTGCACATGCAGCAAAGTGACATTTCCAAGTCCCTGGGCCCTCACTGCTGGACCTGACCATCCCTGGATGGATCCCAGAGCTCAGCCAGGTCTTTAGTCCAAGCTCTGAGCCACACATGGGGAAGGAGCCATGGGTTGAACAGGAGCTTTTCCTGCAGGTGGGAGGAGTAAGCTTGGAGCAGAGTGTCCCAGGGCACCCCAGGGAGCTGGGAGCCATCAACGCAACCCAAACCCATGCTCACAGATGGGTGGCAGGTCCCCCTTGACAGTGCCTTCCTGGTGATACCAATCACTGCTTCTATCCTTTTCCTTCCTATTTTGTAAGTTCTCATTGAGATTTTTGCAAGTGGGATTAAATCCCAGCAGGGGAGAATGGGAGAGTAGAAGTTTTGGGGTACTGCAGCCACCAACTGCCCTGTCCCTGGAGCTGTGGGAGGGAGGGACAGTCCCACACACTTATTTGCACACTGGCTGATGAGCTTCAGTTTCTGTGTGCTCCCCAGATGCCTTCTGCAGGTGAAATACAGAGAATTAAAATGCTTTGGGTTGACCAAGCTTTTATCAGCCCAAACAAATCTGGGCTATGGGGCTGGGAGCTGCCTTGGGGGTTGCACCAATGTCCCCAAGGTCCCTGTGAGCTGCCCCAGCTTGTCCTGCCCACGGTTGGGTCAGGGCTGGTTGTAGGGACTGGGATTAAAGCACACCAGGGAGGATTTATCAATTCAAAAGCATGGTGAGTGCCCCAGATCCAGGTGTAGGACTCAAATGAGGTCCCCCAGGAGGATCAAGCCTAGCTGGGGACATGGAACCTGTTGCTGGCCCTGCAGCCCCAGAGCCAGAGAAGAGAGAGATCTGCGTGGCTGTGCGTGGGGATTCGCACTAAATGTAAGTAACTTCGTTAATGAAGTGGGTTTTCCCCCGGGACTGGGGGTGTCTGTGCGCAGCCGCAGCAGGGCTGTTGCTGGAGGAACGGCACCGTGTCCCCATCCCAGTCCCCATCCCCAGGGAGTGCTGGTGGGAAGGAGTGCAGGAGCTCTTCAGCTACTCTCAGCTCTGTTAACCTTATCTCTGCCTGTGGGACTGCTGGTTCAGCCACTGTCGATGGCCTGGAGGGAGGGAGGGAGGATGGATCTGGCCGCGAGCATTGCTCCCTGCTCTGCGGCCCCTCTGCCCCAAGCCACTTGGCCTCATGCTAGCAGCCTTTCCTGCAAGATCACAGGCTATTTTTAGCTCAATTCCCTAAGGAAACAGAGCTTATGTGATAATAAAACCATGTCCCTTCCTATACTCCTCTAAACCTGCGAACTGGAGCCTCCAAGGCACTCTCACTCTGAGCATCCCTCAGCCTTAGGGTTTGCCCCCTCACCTAAAACCCTCCCTGTACCTAACCCCGTATTAGACACCAGAGTGTCCATGCAGGTTTTGCAGCAGCACTGGCCCGGCCCCGCCACGTGTCTCTTGTTGCCATTGGGAGCAAATTGCTGGCAGTGGATCAACCAGATAAGAGGTGAGAGATGGGGACAGAGGCCCCAGATAAGGTTCTAAAATTAGCCCAGCTCATCACTGGACGGCGGCTGGAGACAACAGGGTTTTGAAAGAGCTGGCTGGCACCACACTGCCTGCTCCCCTCTGACCAATCCTCTTGCCTGGTCACCACTGCACCATGCTGGCACAGCCATGTACATGGTGGTCTGCCACAGAGGCATTGCCCCTGGGATGAGGTGAGAGCAGATGGCTGTGCCTGCTGCTGCCAGCTTGCCCTTCGCATCATGGTCTGCTGCAGGAGAAGCCCATGAGATGGCTGGGGCTTGATGGGGACCTCCTGCGTGGCCCTGCTCAGCAATGGGGACTTGCCAAGTGACAAAGTCCCCAGTTGCCTGGGGACAGGGACATGCTATGTGGCCCTGCCTGGGGATGGAGACCTGCTGCATGGCCACGTTCAGGAATGGGGACCTGCTATATGGTTGTGCCTGGGGACAGGGACATGCTGTGTGGCTGTGCCAAATGACAGGGACATGCCATGTGGCCTGCCTGGAGATGGGGACCTGCTTTGTGGCCATGCTCAGGGATGGGGATAGCTTGGTAGTGGCCATGGCAGGAGCTGGCAGACCCTGGAAGAGGATGGTCACATGGGAAGTCCCCACATTTGGCATAGGGTGCAAAGCTGCAAATGCATTTCCCACCATGGGTCCTCCTGTCCCCCTCAGCACCATGCAGGGTGCAGGCTGTGGGTGCTTTATCCATCTCTCAAAGCCACACCTGTGTCCCATCGCCATCCCCTGCCCTGTCCCCATGCTGTCACCTTGCCCAGCCGTGGCTCCTACCTGCTGCTGGCTCTGCTCCTCCAGGTTGAGCTTGACCTCGAGAGACTGGCGCGCTTCGAGAAAGGCTTTGCGGTGCTTGCGGTCAGCCATGTAGTAGGACATGGTGCCCACCGTGATGGCACAAAGGTAGATGGCAACATTAGACAGGATCTTTGGGGACAGAGAAAAGGAGACAGGGGTGAGCAGAGCCACGAGGAGGTCATGGGGACACTGCAAGTCCCTGTTTGGGCAGCACAGCCTGATGGGTGAGAGTGGATAAAAGCCTTCAAATGATGGAAGAGGACATAAAATACATGCTGGAGATAAATCACCAAGTCACGGCCACTGTGAACTGCTGGAGGGCTCATGGGGGACGTCACGGTGGAGCTGCAGGAGGGGTCTGGCTGGGGATCATGCCCTGAGCATCCCAGGAGACAGCGTGGTCCCCGCAGGCTGACGCCATTTCATTAGAATGTGCAGAGATGTTTTGGAAAAAGGCAGCAGGTTGGCAGGGGCTGGGTGCAGCCCCGGGGGATAGCGCTGCTGAAGGCAAGCGGCTCTCACGTGCCACCCGCTCCTTCCACAGGAATTGCAGCTCTTTGTGCAGAAAAAGCTAATAAAACCATGGCTAAACTCTAAAATCACATGTTTGCTTATGCTCCTGCCCCTCTACATCCCTCTCAATGTCCCCAAGGTTGGACCTGTCCCATCCCACAGGCTAGATCCCAGCTCCATGGGCTGGATCCCATCATCCAGGCTGGATCCTGTCTCCATGGACTGGAACCCATGTCCCTGCAGTTCAGAAGGGGACACAGCAGGTTTGGACATGAGAGCAAAAAGCCCTTCATGGAAAATCTGACTGATGAGGGGAAGTTGAAAGTGTTTGGTTCGTTTAGTCTAGAAAAGGGACGAGGGATGGGGAGGATGTGATAACAGGATCCAGCTGTGTCAAAGTGGCAATGGGATGTGGGCCATGGGCTGTGTCACAGGCAGTGTGGAGGAGGCAGTGGGAAGAGCACGGAGCTGTTCCTGGGCTCATCTCCATCAGGGATGTGCTACCATGCTCAGCATCCTTCTGATCCCACCTCCCCAGTACCAACCTTATCCCACCCCTGGTCCTCATAGCCCATCTTGGTCAGAGGAAAGCCCTAATGTGATCCTGGTCCTGTCCTGGGAGGTTTTATCACCTGGCAGCGTCGAGCCCCAGGCAGCCTGGGTCTCATCACACAGAGACAGGGAGGAGCTGCTGACCCCTTCTACACAAGGGGAAACTGAGGCACAGATGAAAAGGCCACGTGCAGCAGTAAATACAGAGCCCTGGCACTGTGTGCTGGCGCAGCACCGCACTGGGGTTAGCAAGTTGATTTGCAACAAGGAAATACTCTTGGGGGGTGGGGGG